ACCTTTCTGCATTCTTATTTTTCATGCTCATCTAGTTTTTCCAATTATCAGCACCCGAGTGGAGGAGGTGCAGTTTCAGTGTAATCACTAGAAAGTATTTGTGCCTCTGTAAGTGTGTTTAAAGAGAATGTGTATGTGTGTTCAACCAAGCATCCTCACCTCCCTCGTCCGTATGAACACTGAAAGTGATGTGCAGCCATGGGGAAAATGAATTCCTTATGACACGAATCACCTCTCCATCCTGCTTTCTGTGTCCTATTTGCTGCATGTATACAGAAAACACACTCCTTCTCACTCAATTTATCCAAAAAACATTCTGTTCTCTTCTCTGGCTTGAATCATTTCAATCCCTAACCTCCATTACTATTCACCTGCAGTCTCACATGGCTGCATACATCAAAACTTCCTTTAAAACCTCTGATGAAATTTGCAGGCTGTCAGGAGACTTGAGCAGGAAAGTCAAACACCAATCTGGCAAGCGTGTCCTTGCTAGAGGAGCACATTTAGGATTTCCCCCCAGGCACAAACACACTGATTGGATCTTTTGGTGACCGGCAAGTCCTGCATGCAGATGACTGCAGTAAAAAAGACCTCACCACTGAATACAGGTCAAGTTTACGTGACTTTAAACTGACTCTTATTTAACAAACAAACCTTCGACAGCTTTCAAGCTTACGAGAGGTCTGTTATAACCTTCAAAGACACACATTATTCTTTAATATGCCTTTTAAAATGTCTCCTAAGTAGCTATTTGGCATATGTAGGACCTGATCATGAATACAAAATTAAAACTTATCTTTCAACAGGAAATATTTGTTAAGAAACAGTTTTTGTCATGTAGTTTACAATGGGTTTATACTATTTTATAACTGTTTATTTAAATGAATGAACCTTGCTTTTCAAAAAGTGTTTTACCTATGCATTCATTTTCCTTGCTCCAATCTAAAAACGTCCTTTTTGTCTATGGGAACAGGCACACCTATAACTACTAGCAGCATCCTATCGACTCTTGTTTGCATTTGTCAAACTGCACATTTTCTGATCAAATGTAATAATATATGTACCACTTTTGCTTGGGGATCTGCTTTATAATGTCTTGGTCAAGATGACCGCCATCTTATTTTACACTAATAGGTGGGTTGTGCCTTTGCTACCCCTAAAGCGAGACACAACCAAGTGTCGAGGACATCAGGTCTAAGTTCAGAAGAATTAAGTATGAGGTGCAGCGAACTACAAATGAAATGTCAACATCTGAGGACACAGGGTTTGAGTTTAAAACTGGCCTTCACTTAGGACTTAAAAAGCACATCCACTCCATAGTGAAAAAGCCAAATGAGTGGCCAAAATGGAACATGATTCAGTGTGAAAATCGACTTTGTGATGAACACAGCGTGACTTGGGCAGCGTATCGATTGGGAGTTCTCTTGAGGACAAGCGAGTGCAGGAACTATCCATCGACACAATTAGGAGGATTGAGTTTCTCACTTCAGCACAAAGACTTCTTCTGTTAACAGAGAGGACATTCCCCAGCAAGACACACACACACACACACCTCTGAAATCATCTGTCCAATCTTTTAAAATATTTTCCCTTTGTCCATTTTCCTGTCCACCTCTCTCCCTATATCTTTCTTTTCTCACATGCATTTTTTATATACACTGCTCCATTCACCCAAATCTCACCATTATCCATCAAGTGTGTTGGTTTGGTTTTGACAATGTACCACAAGAATTTCTCACCTACATATCCTCCAACTTCACCCGACCTCATTTATACCTCAGCAGATGCCTCTTTCTTATGGCATCTATATCTTGAGAATTAGAGGTGCTACCACGACACTCAAACCACTTATGACACTAGGACTATCACTTTGGTGCTCTAAACCTATGACTCAAACTCTTTGTAAAAAAAACCCTCTTTGGATAAATGTGTCCACAACATGCCAGGTCGAGGGCAGCACAAGGCATGAAAAACAATCACAAAGCCCACAGATTCTACGCAGACAAACATTATTCTTCGGATAAAGCGTGCACGGTGACAAGTACGCATACACACAAATTCACACACTCGCTCGCATTCATTTCCATTACAGCAGCATAATCGCTGACACACACATCTGCAACTAGTTTAATTACTCACAGTAATTAGCCAGAGCCAGGAGCTTCTCTCTGTCTCACCTCTCCTCCTCTGTCTGAATATCTCTCTGCGAGGCAAGTGTACAGTATGTCAACCAGCATGCTAGTGTTAGAGCATAACACTCCTGGATTCTGTTATGACCAGTGACTGTCATCAGCTTGAAGAGTTTATGCCTACAATAAAGTGACCCTTTGAACAAAGTTTCTACCCCTTTTATTAAAACCCCCCCTGCTGGGATTTATTCGTTTTTTTCCCGATCCTCACCCACACAATTTCGTTTTCATCTTCCAAAACCGTGTCACATCGAACCCACTTCCTCGCTCTCTGTTCAGTCAGCTAATTGAATTTGCATCTGACTTTTAATTAACAGCAGAGGTGATTTGCATGAAGTCGAATCATTTGCATATGGTCTGCAGCCCCTCCCCTCTACATGTCTGAGTGCCTGGCACAGAGCCAAGAGGAGGGGTGGAAACTGACATCGGAGGGAGAAATAAGGAGGGAGGAAGGGATGGGTGGAGGAGGAGAAGGTGAGTTGTCTGCCAACAAAGGAGAAGAGAAACAGCAGATGGGGGAAGGAGGAGACAAATGGGGGCACGGCACAACTCTTGCCATGGGATGTGGGAGGTAGAAAGGCAAGAAAACAAATGTATGCACATGATCACCCACGCATGCACACACACAAGGCGTCACACAGTGGCACAAATATCTCCACAGATTTCGCAATCAAGTTAGCTAATTAAAAAAATCAAAGGGGGAAGGGGGACAAATAAAGCAATGCATGCTAAATAGTTATATTCATCTTACAAACAGGTGTTAATTGGTGGCACGACGGCTCTATGCAGATGAGCTTGGCGGACGCAATAACAAGACTGGGCAATACGGTGCAATGCAACACGTTTAGGCAGCTTCATAAAGAGGGACGATGCAAGAGAGAATGCATCGATGTCATGTCAGCGTAGCCATGAGCTGTTTTAATGTGTAATATCACCATACATGTTTGTTTTTACTAGCTGCTTGTTTGTGTTTGGTGGGCTAAAGACACATTTTCACCACATTAAAGATATTCTATTCTATAAACATATAAAAGTCAGATTCAGCATTAAATATCGAAAATCACTTCCAACACTCCCCTCCCCCAAATACTGACAGTACTGTAACCACCTCTTGCATATTAATTCATTCCCACATTAAATTTGGTATTCGTCAAAAATGCTTCCTGTCCAGAGGGCTCGCTCTGCTCTGATAGGTTCAATCCATCACACTGTACCAACTTTGTCCAATAGGCATGCCTTTATCTATTAACTCCCAATGAATATAGAAGTGTGGTCTGTCGGTAACTCTGGCACTATTGCGTGACTTGATTTTGCAGTGCAATCTAGCAGCAAAGAAGTTTAAGGTGTCGTCACTGAGCATTAAAACAACTGGAGCGTGCACACAAGTTTGTTTACTCAGTGTGTAAAACTCAAACATGCGTTCAAGCAAAAACATCACCGCCATCTGCACAACATCAAAACCTGAAATACTACATGTACACAAACACACAGCCTGTAAACAAACCAACACATGATCTATCTGAGTCGCCCATCTTCATTAGTACCCAGAGAGAATGCGGCTCATTAATGAAAGTCATTAATGCGGGCGGTGGAGCGCTGGGCGGCTGCCAACACCCCGACTGCTGGGTGGCATGGAGGGGGGAGACGGGTAGAGATGCAGCTGCTTCTCTCACCGTTTCCCCAGGGGAGATGGAGGGAGAGTTGGAGGAAACAGTGGGAGAATGTGGGGGTCTCAACTTATGAGTTGAGGGTACGGGCTTGATAGAGGGTTGGGGGTCGTTGCAGGCGTGTGCCATGTTAACGCTGCGGAACATGGGGCACGGCAGACGCCATTTTGAGGGGGCGATGCAGCGAGTCGCCATTTTAAAGTGATCTGCATGGGGAGAATGGGAATTGATAAAATCCCAACCTCAGATAATGCTAACTTTTAAAACATGATTTGACTCTTGGAGATGCTGCTTGATAACTTGTTTGGTCACATGACTGCAACTGATATTCTTCGTTTCACTAATCGATCAGTTTCTCTCACATTCACAGAGAAAGCATTTCGCATTGTCTTTTAGTTCCAAGTATGAGATGATGTAACGTAATGCAAAAGCCCTTTCTAGAGCCAGGGTATGTTTTGTCCGTTGTGGGCTCCCGTAGATACATGGCAGTGCAACATGGCTGACCCACTGCATGTGAAGATGAACAGAAACACAGATTCTTAGTTTTAGGCTTATATCTGAACATAATATCACTTTATATTTCTACCAATAAATCCCTCTGTGGTACACACTTCTATTTTAAACGATATATTAAATGAAAATCGGTAGAATGTAGCAGTTTTTACTTGATATAGTTTTGTCTACATTCTGGTGCTCCACTACCTCAGAACGCTGACGTCGGCACATCCTCACACTGATCCTGTCGCCTGGTCTGGAGCTCAGGACTTGTTCGCTTACTGACGAACGAAACGCATATTTAATGCTTTCAAGTAATTAGCATTAATCAGCCACGCTATAGTAGACCTAGTAGGCTACTATATCGATTTAAGAAGCTAATCAAGGAAAAGCTTAATGACATGCCGATTAAATTACTCCAGAATATAAATTACACGTCTGACTAAATTCTATGGGATCCAGTGAAATAGAACGTTATTTTAAGTGTGGTTTTCAGCAGTCAGGGGACTTGAGCTGATGAACTCATGCAGGCTGGTTGTTCATCTCTATCTGTCTGTAACATGCATAACTGGGAGAAAACAGTGTATACAGTGGTTTAAAAAAATTAAATGTTCAGTATTGTAACAATAGAAATTAAAGACAAATCAAAGAAATTATATATTTACAACTTTAATTTTTATTTCTTTAAAATAAGATAAAGGAAAATGTGTTATTATCAATAGTACAAAAATGTATCAGAACACAGAAGAATATACAGGACAGAGCATGACAGTGACAGCTTAGGGAATTATATATATATGTTCCAAACAGGTAAAGGTCCTTGGTATATTATGAAAAATAGAGGAAAAAAAGGACTGGTAATGGAAGACTGGATCTTTTCCCGCAGACAAACAAGGGAAACATATTGAAAAATGGCTAAAATGTAGTCGACTTGGCACCAACAAACCTGCTCTCTTTCCAGTTTTAGCCAACATGCTAGCAAACATTCTCCAATAAATAAGGCACTACGATGGGCCCGAAAGCAGGGATAGTGTGTGAGAGAGCGTGTATGTGTCGGCGCATGTGTGTGTGAATAATCTGATGACAAACGTTCACATTTTATATCGTGCATAAATACTTATTCATCTTAAATCACTCTTAAGATATTTCTATTAAAAAACAATGACATTTATATCTGGGGATTTAAAAAGATGTCTAGGACCTGACATCCATATTTAACATGAACATTTAACAAAGAGTTATAGCAAAACAAAGCGTGTGACAGAAAAAAGATACAAACACATGTGCTATTTGATAACCTTTTTTTTGGTTTAGGGACAGAGCTGACGGACCCTTCCTCACACAGACAGGCTGGTATGAGTGTGTGTGCGTCACATGTTGGCAGAGCGCTTCCCGGCCCCCTGCCAACATGCTGTAAAACAACAGGCTATGTAGTGATCAAGTGCAATAATGAAATCATCACTTCCCACATATGTATACAGCTGTTTGCATAGAGACAGAAAAACTGTGTTCTGGTACGGCATGAATTCTTAATATCTAACTTAAAAGTACAAGTGGAGAAGATAAACATGTTACTGGTTAAGGCATTTCTGACACTGAAAGATAAAAAGCTTCGGTCCGTTTTGTTTTGTCTTAATGTTTGGCACCACAAGGAATAGCCAGAGGGTAACTGTAAAATCTGGAAGCAGGTCAAATCAAGCTGCAGCACATTACGGAGAATCAAACTTCTCTTCACTCTCTTAGTCAGCAATAGTGTTTGTTAATGAGGCAAAGAAACTGACATGAACAGTCCATTCAGCCGCAGGACGTCATTGAAAATAAAGTCCCTCTGGCAGGCTTTTTAAGTTTCTATCCCACCTGTGAGATGGAGATGGATGGAGTGGAAGGCTGGTGTGGTGGGTAGACTGTCAGTGAAGGTCAAAGTCCCATTGCAAATGACTCGCACTCAGTGGATTAGCTGCAGTGGAGCGGGTGGGGTCTACATCTCGTGGGCGGCGAGATGATGTTCAGGGACACCGTTAGCGTGAGCCACCACCGTGTTATTCTCGTTGAGGCGCCTCACACGATACATTTCATAGTGGATGCTGCTGGTGATGTCCTTAATGTTCTGCATATGGCTCCTGCAGGAAACACACACACACACACATCAAAAACCAGTAGAAGACATGGACAAACCTTCACGCTTGCATTATGGCATTTCTGGCTTCTTAAATTATATCTAAATATTGAAATAATAGTTTACATTTTTAGAAACTAGCTAATTGAACATTTGGTGTAATATCCATATGAGATGCAAATTAATATTCAAAGTAGAGCATAATATCATGTCATAAAGCAAACACTATCACATAAGGCCGCATGAAATCAGACAGAATTTAAGATGGAGACAGATTTCCTCACCTGATGAGGAGATCCCGTAAATAGGCAAACTCGCAGTGGGCTATGTTCTCAACTAAAGGCGAGAGAGAAGTTATGAGTTAGCATAAACAATTATAAATGAGCTAAAAGACAAACAAAGGCACCAAAAGACAGACAGTGGGTGTTTCTCAATCGCGAGTAAAGCTGCTTCAGAGCCACTATTTCAAGCATACTACGTCATCGAGTGCCGCCGAAGGACTGTTCCAATCTCCAGTATACTTGGAAATCTACCGAGCCCGGCGTACTCCGTTTGGAGAAATATCGAGTGTGCACATGAGTAGACTTCGCGGTCTTAAAATCCCCACAATGCTTTGCGCACGGACCAATTTCCCCAAATCTGTGGCGGAAGATGTCAGGCGGGGCCTCTCATATGACGCACACCTGCACACTTGCTAGCGTGTTCCACACTTCGTTTTCGGAATGTCAGGAAGTATTCTTGACTCGCTTCTGATGCAAGATGCTCGGCAGACATGTGCTACCAAGCAAGCGTACTCGCGATTGAGAAACACCCACAATGTGTCTGTGGCCATTATGTTGCCTAAACAGTCCACTGGGTGGAGTCAGTGATCTCAGTGAGAGGAAGCTGTGGAGAAGATTCCTCTCTTTCAACCCTCAAACGCCCACTACAGATGTGTGTGTCTGCTCAGAGTCCTGCTGAAGAGATAACACTGTCTGCAGGAAATGAAACTAAATGAGACACTTCATAGAGGGATGGTGCCTCCTGTCTGGAGTGGATAACATAATTAAATATTGGAAAATGAATCAGCAGTAGACATGGATGTTATCAAAAAACAATACTGTACAGAGACACTTCTAGCATGCTTATAATTCTTTAAAAAAGCTAAACAAAACACACACAAATAATAACTAGGGTTAGGTTTTTCCCCCTAGATTTAATCAATGTAAGCAAATGACAAATATGAATTTCTTATGTGAGAATCCAATTGCATTCACTTCACTGGGGTTAATTGGCACGACACATGAAATTAATAAATACAAAAAGTGAATACAAATATTATTCATTAGGAGAACAAATAAAGATAAAGACATATACTATAGTCTACTGATTATAACATAAAGAGATGTTGGATCTAAATGATAATACAAGGTAATTATTATTGTGTAGACAAAGAAAATCTACTGATAAAATAATTAAAAAAAAGAGATAATCATAGTAGCGATAAGACACGACGGCCATTAATCATCCACAGTGTATCTTTTGTGATACAGAAGGGGATGTGTGTGTGTGTGTGTGTGTGTGTGTGTGTGTGTGTGTGTGTGTGTGTGTGTGTGTGTGTGTGTCCTTTTAAGTCAGACTGTCTGCGGCAGGCCTGATTGCATCATTGTTTTATTGACTGACTGACTCTGAGCTCTTTACACATCTCCCTTTCTGTCCTCTTCCGGGTAAGTTATGTGCAGAAATACAAGTCCTGAAAGTGACTCTGAAAACAAACTTAAATAGAAGAACCTAAGAGGAAGAATGGATTGAGACGTGGAGGTGATTTACCTTCAATAGTTCCCCACTTGGTCTTCCTCCCCAGCAGCCTCCGGCCGTTGACCTGGTACTCCTGGTCGCTGCCCACCACAGCAAAGGGGATCATCTCCTGCTCACAGATTCAATGGAGTCAGAAACGATTCATGTTAAGTACATCAACAATAATGGATTCAGGATAACAGTGCTTTGTGGAAAGGCATGTCTGAGCATAAATGAGGATTAACAGAATCACAGCTCCTGCCACATATATCTGTGATTGCTTTGAAAGGATCCCCTCACCCTGATCTTCTCGTTGATCATTCTGTCCTCGGCGTCTTCGTCAAATTCTTTCTGAGGGTACACGTCAATCCCGTTGGCTCGCAGCTCTTCCCTGATCTGGAGACACATAACACACTTTTAACCCAGTACAGTTTTGAAAGGATACAAACTAAGGCCTTTAATTACAGGAGTAATTAGATGAGCGTGCTTGATGGAGTCTGTAGAGACATCAGACAAATGGACCTAAATCTGTGTATAGATTAAAGGGGTATTAACACTAATCTGCCTTCTAATCTTTTACAAAAGTTTGGTTTTAGCCACTGATCGCAGTCTGAATACAAAGCAACAGAAAACCTCACAAGATGGATGCTTATGCATAAACCTGTGCACATATACACAAACACGCACATGCATGCTCAGCCTACTTATCGCTAATGAGGGTCAATCTTAAAATCCTTGAAGACAGCGAATTAAAACATACAAATGAATCGCTGCTGCCTTATTAACCTTGTAGAATAAGTGTAGAAAGTACATTAAAAAGAAAGAAAGATTTGTTTGAGTTCTTGGTGGAATATAGCCATGTTTTTGGAGTGTCAAAAAAGAGAGGAAAGAGTTGCTGCTCCACAAACATGAGAAAATGAATGCATCACTACAGAGACAAACCGATGATGTTTCTAGATTACAGATGTGGATTTAATGGGAGGATAATAATACATTTTCAATCAAATAATGCAGAAATCAGTCAAGGAATAATCATAAATAAATGTTACCTTCTTTTTGAAGAAGTCCCTCTCCTCCAGGGTGAGTGTATCCGCCTTAGCGATGACCGGGACGATGTTGACCACCTTACTGAGACGTCTCATGAATTCTACATCCAGAGGTCGCAGACTGAGAGGGAAAGAGACAACATGAGAAAACAAGGGTGATGAAATGAGTTTTAGAACAAAACTCCTCCAGCAGGGGGCAGATGTTCCTCACAATTCTCCCCAATGAAGAAATGCTGTATCTTATAACAATGTGTTTCCAGTTCACATTTTTACATCCAACTAATCATACTCAAAAATGTGTGTGGACAGCTAATGATGAGGTTGAAATACATTTGTGGTTGGTTGAGAGGCCTTTCCTGCATCTGCACGTGGTTATCGCAGTGGATTCTGGTCTGGCTAACAATACTTCAAAAAGGACGGGTCATTGTCAACAAGCAGTTTTCGTGCACTCATGCAAGAGCACATCTCAAAAAGACAAAAGTGTGGATTGAATTGACTGCTCCCAGACACAGACTCCCTCTCCTTCCCGTTAGACTTCTTAAGGCGATCCCAGAGCAGCTGCTGGCCAGCCCATGTGACATCTGCAGTGTTGGAGTGTTGGATCGACATGAAACGCTGCTGGATGAGGCACAGAGACAGGGGGCTATTTTACACCAGCCCCCCCTGCCTGAGTGAAGACAGGCCATGACACAAAAATGAATAGAGGTGCAGCACTTGAATGCCACTCTATCTCTCAACTGTGTGTTGAAACTAGGCTGACAATCCACAGCTGTGTTCAACTTTTTCCCAAGACTGCTCTGCACTCGACTAGAGTTACACAAATGCACAAGCTATAAAATGTGTTGTGAATATATCACTTGATGGACACATGAGACGCGAGTGCACTCTGCCCCTAATGTCTTCTGCTTGTATACGCCAACCCCATGAGCTCCGAACAGTGAGGGGCTGAACCAACACAGTGTGGAGAGGGACTGCAGTTTATAAAGTCCGATCAGAGCCAGATGTGTGTGTCTGTTACAGATCCATGGAAAGAAACTCTGGACCGTGTGCTGCGTTCAGGGGCCGGATGGGAGAATCTTTCCAGTGCGTTTGTGTGTGTGTGGACTGGTGTTCTGGGATACGTTGCGTAGTGCCGAGCGGAAATGTGTGTGGGAGGCTTGCATGTTCAATATGTTGTGTAAGAAATGTTTCACATTACTCCACACTGCATCAATGACATCTGATGTAAAAAGCTAGTTTTGAACGTTGTTCCTCTTTGGCTTACTTTGGACTTTTAGGTGGTCTTCTTCACTTGTGTTGAAGAACTTCCCCACCAATGACATTGTGTGCATGCAGCTGTGCTTAAGATACCCAGATACCCCTAGATGTGTGTGCATTTGGAAATACGAGACCTCTGGCAGATAATTCTGTACATCTCTAATACTTTTGTTGTTTGAATTAAACAGTCCTGCCAATGGTTCCCACTATTCCAGTGATTATGTGGCTATAATTCGCCTAGCAATGCATCAATGCACCAACAAATAAAGGGTTGGATAAAACTGAAGGCTTTAATGTATATATTTCTTCTACATGATTAAATGTTAATTTTGTAAATATGCAGCCTGTACAGGTTAATGAGAAAGGAAATGCATTCAACACTTTATTTAGGGAACACACAAGATGCATTGTTGAGTAACCTCTGAGAGTAAAGCCCCATTTACACGGGAACGCAAACGAACCGAATTCGATATCAAAAATGTCTTCCGTTCACACGGATACGGCTCAATAAACGTGTCCCTTCACACGAGACCGCTCGACCCGCTGGAGAAGCTGTAGTACATATGCCGGGCCTGTAAGTGGCGCTGTACTTCCGCCACAAAATATACCAAAAGCAGCGAAGAAGACCCCCGAGCATGGTTGCCATGGTTGCCCTTCTGTTTATTCTCCGCGGTGGATTTAGCCACATGTAGTAGTTCATGTAATTCTCCATGTCCACTTGTTGCTGATGGTTGTGGTAGAGGAGCTGTAGATTTTGCACTAACATCTGTAGCATGGTCAGTAACAGTAGCAGTAGCTACTGACAGTAGCTACTGACCATGCTACAGCAGTGAGCAGCAGAGGTGGGGAGAGGCGGGGCTATGGCTTCATCGTCATCAGGAAAATGATCGTATAGGGCGTACACACGGAGCCGTTTGGCCCCACAGAGCGTTCCGTCCGCAGATCTATCCACCTTGGCACCCGTTATCGTTTTAGGGGTCTGTTTCCGCGGTTCCGTTACAGCCTCGTGTGAACGAACGGGCTATACGAAAGAGAAAAGTAGCGGATACAACCTGTTTCGTTCCCGTGTAAACAGCACCTTAGTCTAACTAATGTTTGTTTAATCCGCAGGGGACCTTTAAGCTAAGTTAGCCAGCTTTGTCTTTACAGTACAAACATGAGCTGTCTCAATCTCCTCATAAATCTCTCGGTAATAAAGCGACTTTCCTAGGTTTTGAACCTTACCTTCAAGTCTCTAACATCTTGTGTTCTCATCTAAGGGCCACTGATGGCAGCACTAATATCTTTTGAGTATGTTGTGCTCATATTTAACACTGTTAGAATGCGTCCTTCCTTACCAGTGTCCCGTCGGGGGAATAAAATAAATGCAGCAGTGGACTCTGGAGTCTGGAATCCTTTTCTTCCTGTTGATGTTGATCTCTTCCTGCAGGTACGCCTCGTACTGGTCATTAATGAACTTCATGATGGGCCGCCAGCTAGACCGTGGCAGGGGTGGATTCAGGGAATGGTGAGATAGAAGGTACAGATAAAAGAGGAAGGAAGGTAGAAAGTGGGAAGTAGAGGTTAAAGGAGGAACATTTCAATATAGAGTTACAGAGAACATGTACAGGAAAAGTTTGACAACAGGAAAAAGGGGGGGCTGGTCAGACAGTTTAAATCTCACTTCATTATATAGACAGCTCAATGTTGGTAGAATTGTAGCGTACCAGTTCTCATTGTTGATCTGGTCTCCAAAGCCCGGTGTGTCGATGACTGTCAGCTTCATTCTCACTCCCTTCTCCTCAATGTCTGCACACAGAGACACTCACTGTAAACTACTATGTCAAAAACACTCAGTGCACTTTATAAAATGTCTACTATACAAGGCTACGTTAAAAAATGTAGCATTACTCAGCAATTGTATTTTTTTTTCATCTACAAAGCTATGAAATTAGAAACCTGGCTGGTTTTATGAGGCTGAAAATATTTTAAATTCAGATATCGTTTCATCCATAATTACAGTAATTTAAAGAGAATTAAAGAAAAGTAGAGTGAAATAAGGGTAACTGTAAGTTTGTTAAGTGGCTACACAAGCAGTAGTTGTTTCTTTGCCATTGCTGACAGAGAAAAGTGTAAATACAGAAGGAAAGAAAAGAAAAATAAAGTGGCAGAGAATGAGATGTGTGTATTTTGGCTGACAGAGCTGCAGACACAGATGGACAGAAAACAGCACAAATGAAAAGTCGAAGGGTTCAAGATGGCCGTACCATGACTGATGGACTTTATTTCGATTGTTTTGGGGATCTTCTCCTGGCCGGTCGCCTGCACTGACTTACGGCTGACTTTAGACTTGAACAGCGTGTTCATCAGAGTGGACTTTCCCAGGCCACTCTGTCCTGTAAGCACAAACAGAGAGGCAGGCGGTGAGAAAGCAACATTTCAAGATGAAACTTTGACACTGCTTGTGCTGTAGGTACTTCACAGTCTACACACTGTTAAACCCAAACACAATCTCTTATTTTCCGTGACAGTTTGAATGCCTCCACGCTGTCAGTTTTTGGGCTGAAGCCGTGACAAGCTGCAGGTGTCTCTCTGCACAAACACTGTCATGAAAAGCCATCAGTACACATGACTGCAAACCAAACACCATCAGTAAGACAGATCGGATCCAAAGTGAACCGGTTTTTTCCCCTGAAACAATGACATGGCTTGGATTAATGTGCACTGAGGGACCAGAAATATAAAATCATTGTTATATGGTAATGCAACAACTTCAAACAAAATCCTGTATCAACATTACCTTCAGTTTTTAATTGGGGTGACATTGTTTGAGAAATGAGACATCCAAAATGGAAAGAAATGATGTGAACACTTCCTTTAATGAATAACAGTGTTGCATAACATATTGTACTTTTACAGTCATCACAATGTCATAAATAAAAGCATTGTATCAGACTGATAGCTCGGAGCACTAGAAAAACATTTTTAAATCATTATTTGTATTTTGGTGCTTTTTGTGTTTAACAAGCAATGTACTGTTTATATGTAACTTCTTCGCAGGTTATAGAGAGGAGCGTGGAGGGGCCCTATGCGTAGTTTAACTTCAGTTAAGTCAACATTGAGACCTCTACTGATTTATGACGGCGCAAAGTCAAACACAGGCGCATGTAGAGGCACACGCTACATGCAAACATGGATTTGTTCAATCAGTATAGAAGACATCAGCTGCAGGTTTTAAAAAAAAAAAAGAGTTAATATTCACTACGTTTAAGAGCTTAACATCACTACATGACAACAACAAAAAACACATTTGATCAACTCTAATGCATTGGCAGCATTGATGGCACAGCTTCCACCCTCTCAGTAACAGCTGCATTCCACCATGTGTCTCACTGCGAAACTCTCCCATTAACAAACCATCATTACAGGGATGCCAAAGTCCCACGCTTGCTAACGTGGTGCTCCATAGAGCAGATTCTGTTAAGACTGCCATTAAATGATTGAGGAGACAGACATTTTCATGTTTTAAACCAGACACAATAATTAACATCTCAGATTAGCCAAATATGCGTATCCATGTGTCTTTGACATCATATACATACTGTACAGATGTTGTTCCTTCTTCCCTCTTTTGCACACCACTCTACCCAATAGAACATTTAAAAAAAAGGTCAGCACTCATTATAGCTAATTTCAGAACTCAATAAAGAAAACCCAATTCTTGACTTTAAAAAGCCTGATGTCTTCTTGCATTGCTCCATTTTTCAAGGTGGTGTAAATAACTGAACAGGGAAAGCAAGCTTTGCTCACCATTGCCTCCACAACTTTACATAACTTAGACTCAACCCTGAGGCTGCTTCTCAAACAAGCCGTTTTATTTGAAGATGAAACACAAGACAAACCGGCGCTACATCATTCAGAGGAGACATACAGCACGGAGGTGGTGTGAGTTTTATGGTGGCCTGTTTACTGTTAGGTGTGTGTGTAATTAGCTCATGTTTTTAAAAAGTTGTCTGAAGATAGTGAAGATGCCTCAGTGGGAAATACAGTTTAAGTCCAACTGTGTGTGGCAGCTTATTAAAATAAGTTTGAGGCCTCTATTTTCTGACAAAGATTAGAGAGAAAAGTGCATCATACCAGAATAACGACATATTCTTTAAGAGCTGACTGAAAATATTTTACCCCAGACATTTAAGTGTAAGTGTAACAGGTTGGTCCTAAATGTAAAATAGCTTTGCAGTCTGCACTTGACGAAAAGGCTCAAAGAATGAGAGAAAGTTATCTTCATGATTCGATATCCTGTCTAAGTATGTAGAACGTTCTTGCTGTGAGGCACCTGACACACCCATGCAAATCTGGACAGTATGAATGAAACATTAGCTAGTGTACACATGCGCTACTTACCCACAACCATAATGTTGAGCTCAAAGCCCTGCTTCATGGCCTTCCTCCTCATCTGCTCCAGAATGGCATCAATGCCTACGTAGCTGAAGTCCCCCACGGGGTCCCCGGGATTCTCCACGTACGGGACTCCCACTGCTGGGGACACTATGGCATCAGGCATCACCACCTCAGACATGGCACTGCTGCTGTAGCTGGGAATCACCTCAGGCCCTGATGGAAGGAGAGAGAGAGAGAGAGAGAGAGAAGGTAATGAGATGAGGTGTGATGCGAGGGGATGAAGGTCGTTCCTTCGTGTTCACAGTAATATTTTAGAGACACTTTAGATAGGTATTTGTCTTGCTTTTAAGAGACCAAAAAGGATGCAGTTAAGTCAGAAAAGTAGGTTTTATTTCAGAATTGTGTGAGTGTGTGTATGTTTTGCGGGGGTAATAAGTGGCAAGACAACTTTGGCTAATCTCTTTTTCTTAGTAAATCACAATTGATATCTTAAATGTAACTTTTAAATAACGTTGACATTTGGAATTGTATGTGTTTTTTCCCCCGATACATTTAAAAAAACATTCAAAAAAGAGTTAGACACAAAAGAAAATGTATTTAGGAGTCGGACACTTTTTGAAACTCAGTACATTGAAAACCTATCAACATCATCAGGAATTATTGTGATTTCCCAAAGGTGTAATTCCTAAAATGTTGAACTTTTCCTTCCATTATCAGTAATTTCTTGATTTTTGAAAAACACAACACACAAAAACCTTCCTCCTTATCGGTGCTTTGGATGCACCTGATGGAGGATTGAGTTGAAGAGAGCGAAGTGGCTAAGCAAGCTAAAACTAACCAGAAATATCCAACAACACACACCCCGTGACATTCAAACAGAGCAGATGGATGATCTCAATCAAACACAGGCTTTTGAATCAACAATTAAAACTATAAGAAAATATACTCTGCAGAATTAAAGTACTTTGCACTTGGCAGGACATCATTTCTGCAGCTTGTTTTGATATAATTATCTTAATGTCCTCCTGTGGAATGCCTTCAGACGTGAGTCCAATTGTAAGATGAATATTCAACATGTCTTATTTCCACAAAGGTTTTTTAAAACTCAAAGTGCATGCGGAAAGTGGCTGAAACTCTGCTTAACAATGTGTAAAGTCAGCGAAGGTGAAGAATTTACAGTGTGTATGTTTGTGTCTGCATTGTACAGTAGTTCATGCAGCTGCTCCCCCTCACAAGGCCTCCCTTATCCTCGCTCTGCACAGTGCAGCGTTACTGTCCTGTTCATGTGAGAGTGGAAAAGAGGGAGACCGCTGAGGCTGAAACCTGATCCGCTCAGCCAGTTAGCCTGGGTCACAGTCACACACACACCAGAGTTCATGCTTGAGTTTGGGCTTTAAAAACACAGTGGACCTCGTACACACATAATCTTGCCTGTTTTTGATCAAATAGCTGACCTGCACACATGTACAAGCCCGTGAAAACATGAAGACCCATACATACACACACACACACGGACCGTCAGCCAAGTATGAGACAGCTAGTGGGTTCCAGCTCAGGCACAGATTTTCCTCCACAACACTTGGCCTGCCACAAGGAGAAGAAGTCCAGAACACGAGCTGGTTCGCTCGTACCGCTCGGGGAATTAAAATCAACAGGGAGTGACGAGAAGAAAATCCACACACTTCAAACTGGCACTGCCTTGATTAATGGAAGAAATCCAGTCAAGAATAACACCGCTGTGGAAACTCAACCCGAGTTCATGCTCAACATCGAGTCTTACTTTTTATAATGTGCTCCATTGTGTGTGTGTGTGTGTTAATGTGTCATGGAGACCCACCTATGGAAGCAGCTCTCCAGGCCTCCCTCACCACTTCCCCATCCTGTTCCAGCAGTCAGTCAGCAACTTACTGCGACTTACTGCTCTCCACCCCCCCACATTCCCGTACCTCTGCTCTGGTCTTTTCTCTCTCCCCCTTATCCTCCCTCCACACACTGATACTGTCCTGTCTCATCTGTCATCAGTTTCCCTCTCTAAGCCATCTCTTAGTTTTCTATTGTCTCTCCTGTGTGACTCCCCTGTTTTTAAAACTTCGCCTTCTTCCTCCCTCCCACTGTTCATCTGGCTTTTATCCTATTTCTCCCTTTACTAAACTCCGATGAAGTCACCTCTTTTATTACCTTTATCTCTACGTCGCACAAACTGTTTCTTTTCATCCTTCCCTCATCACTGTTGCTCTCTCTCTCTCTGCTCTCTGACAGCTCTGTGCTGTAAACAGAGCTGATGGCCAGGGGCTAGCACACCTTGACGGGCAATGCTGCGACAAGAGAGCCTCACCTGAGGCAGGATGCCAGCATCAAAGAGAATGGACATAAAACGAATGGAGTTTAAAGACACTTGAGATAAATCAGCCTCAGTGTGTACTCAAATATCCCCCAACAGCGACTACAGCTGCAAAACACTAGAACAAAATTAACCTGGTCTTTCTTCTTTTGAATAATGATAGATACTCTGAACGAACTGAATAGGCAAGAACACATCTTAAGAGCTGAAGAAGGTGCAACATTAAGTTGTTCCAGTTTTTTCCAACGGAGCCCCGCGCCCCCCCTGAAATTCAAGGTGTTAAAATGAAAGCGTTTAGTTTATTTAATAAATAAATATATATATTGTTTTTTTAAAGTTGTGAGTTTAGTGTTTTTGACCCTAAGAAACACTGATGCATTAATCAATAACAATAATCCACAGCTCCTCTCTCTGCTCCAGAGGATTTACAAAAAAAATATCCCAATGCCAATGAACACAACATTCTCTTTACATCCGCGTTGCATGTCACATCTCTACAAAAACAGAAGACAGGAAACTCAGAAAAAGTGTTGCCATGGTAACAAACAAAATGGCGGGGTCGCGTCTAAATCGCGCTAAAACTATGGTGATAATATCACTTAAAGTGCTATTTCCTACGGTTAAAACTTAACAAAAACGTATTAATAGTGTACCCACAGTGTTACTAAATAATATATAAATCACTGTCATTAACTTAAATAGCACATTTAAAATACAAAATTATAATACATTGCAACACAGTTTCAAGCGCAACTCACCCACACGTCACTGTGGGAGGGCGGAAGTTACATACCGGAAGTAGAAAATGATGTGCAACGGGAAAGTGTTCCCACTAGAAACATTACTCAAAAATATTAAAAGGAAACATCTCATAAAAATAAAATTCACAACCTATTGTAAATCGTAATTTATAAACTAATAATTATTTATACACATTTTTAACTCCGTTACACATGGCTAAGTATTTTTGGCGCTGTAATCTGGCCCCTATTATTGGCAGTATGTCTAGCTTTGAATGCTTTATGTCACAGTACCTGTTTTTAAAACTAAGGTCTTGTCCTGAAATAAGTGTCATTTCCTTGTTTCAAAAGGGTTCAGGGAACATTACCACCCACATCTATTGAGTTAACAGTGTATGTTCCCTTTAACAAACCGTAAACACACACTGTTCTCCTAGTGAGAATGGAAATAGCGAAAGCCACCCAAGACAGAGTGAAAAGAATAGAGATGTCTGCGTATCCTGAATCCTAACTAGCTGGTTTCCCGGACAGAAGCAGCAAGACTCTTCAGAGCATCGTTAACGTCCTTCAGTGCAAACCGCCCATTTGCCCAAGTCAAAGTAGAGTCAAACACCGTAAAAGACTTGGCAAACAGACAACACACACTGAAGAACACAGAGTGCGGGAGCATTACTGTGGGAAACCCAGCTCTACCAAACAATGCAAATCCATCATTTTCACTACAGGCCGTAAACCTTTTCAGTCCTGTGTCCTCGATTTCAGTAAACTACAGTGAGAAGCGTACTGCGTCAATACCTTTGTTTTGAGTGAGAGTAAAACCAGGCTGGTGAAGGACTTGGGAGTAGCCTACTGTAAAACATCTGGATAAACTGACCATTTATCACTCAGAGGCATTCACACTGGCAGCTTCAGCACAAAGTCCAGCCAAAGTGCTACAATGGTGCTTAGCCAGGGAACACAGGTGTCAGGAGACAGCGGGTTGAAGCATGACCCTCCAACACTCAAGACATTTGACAACATGAAAAAAAGGTCTGGCCCTAGCGGCTAACCAGCTGCTGGACATTACCCTGACCTTATTCAGCACAGTCAAAATGAGTGCTAGGTCAAATGGGGATAAGAACACACCACATACTGTAGGAATGTCAGGTATCTGAATAGGTAGATAGACTTATTGATAGACTTTCTCAGGTCAACTGATGTGAGAAGTTGACTAATGGCGCAGTTCCACTACACGGTCGGCCTCGGCCACGCTCGGTACGGCTCGGTACGGCTTGGCCTTAACAGGGCCGACTCACTTCATGCTGCGCTTCCATTACAGTTTAGGAACTGGGGTAGTTACTATAGTAACGCAGTGTAGGCGGAGCCGTGACGTCATCTTCAGAGAACTCCAGAAACACAACACAGCCGTTAGCTGTTAGCACTCAGAGCTCCTTATATATGTTCAGAAACTCGACAAAAGTTAAACAAGTACACACCACAGACTGCCTGTGTCATGGTGAATACAGTCGCTGCTTTATTTATGTCTGTATAGGCCGTTGTTGTGAGTGTGGACGGTCGGAGCATATACTGCGTTAGCTTAGCCAATCTCCATCTAGAAAAACACGCATTTTAAAAGGTTTTTCGCCTGCCGTCTGTCTGCAGACTTGACAAAGCATTAATTCATGGTTTTTACTAACCGGTATCAGTATGTTGTTACTTCGGCATCATTTTGAAACGTGTATTACAATTAAATCACGGTCAAATATGTCCATCTTGTTGTAGTTGTAGCCCCTTGCCAGCGCTCCTCTCTCTAGTTTAGCATACTCAGCCCGACTCAGCCCTGTTTGTTGGCCTCGATAGAACCACAATTTTCTCGGGCCAGAAAAGACGTGAAAAAGTGGCCCCGGGCCGGGCCGGGCCGGAACTAGGCCTAGTGGAAGCGCAACCAAAAACGGGCTCGGCACGACACGGCACGCTTAAAGCGAGCTCCGCGCTGTAGTGGAACTGCGCCATAAGAGAATTAGTGAGGGGAGTGAGTTTTCACTGTAGCAAAACCTTTGAGAGTCAGGATTGGGTTACTAAAAGTCACAGAGCAGGGACTAAATATTGACAGTTTAACTTACCTTCATGTCCCACCAAAGAAACTACCTACA